CGCTTGAGCCCAGGAGTTGGAGGTTGCTGTGAGCTGTGATGCCACGGGCACTCTACCCAGGGTGACAGCTTGAGGCTTTGTCTCAAAAAAAAAAAAAGAAAAAATGCTCATCATCTTTAATCATCAGAGAAATGCAAATCAAAACCACTCTGAGATATCACCTAACTCCAGTAAGGTTAGCCCACATGATAAAGTCCCAAAACTGTGGATGCTGGCATGGATGGCAGAGAAGGGAACACTTCTACACGGCTGGTGGGACTGTAAACTGGTAGAGCATTTTTGGAAAGAAAAATGGAGAATCCTCAAAACTAAAAGTTGACCTAAATTTGATCCTGCAATCCCATTACTAGGTATCTACCCAGAAAAACAAAAATCATTTTTACCACAAAGACATTTGCATCAGAATGTTTATTGCAGTTCAATTCATAATTGGCAAGTCATGGAAGCCACCTAAGTGCCCATCAGCCCATGAATGGATTAACAAATTGTGGTATACATATAACATGGAGTACTATTCAGCCTTTTTAAATAAAAGGTAGAGACTTTACATCTTTTACATTTACCTAGATGGAGCTGAAAGACATTCTTTTTTTTTTTGAGACAGGAGCCTCAAGCTGTCCCCCTGGGTAGAGTGCTGTGGCATCTCAGCTCACAGGAACCTCCAACTCCTGGGCTCAAGTGAGTCTCCTGCCCCAGCCTCCCAAGTAGCTGGGGCCACAGGCGCCCGCCACAACGCCCGGCTATTTTTTGGTTGCAGCCATTATTGTTGTTTGGCGGGCCTGGGCTGGAATCAAACCCGCCACCTTGGGTGTATGTGGCTGGTGCCTTAGCCACTTGAGCCACAGGCGCTAAGCCTGAAAGACGTTCTTTTTAGTAAAGTATTGCAAGAATGAAAAAATAAATATCCAATGTACTCTATACTAATATGAAATCAATATATAAACAAGTACATGCTCATATAAATAAATAAAACACAAATAAATAATAAATAATAAAACACAAATACAGCCTAATACAGAAGCAGCAGTAGGAGGGGGCAGAAGAGAGGATGGGAGAGGATGATTGGCAGAAGGATGGAGGCCATGAGACAGGATGTCACCTAATGTGCACATTTTGAGGAGTGTATAAGACATCCCCTGGGTGAGGGGCTCTTTTACAACTGGAACTTTACCCTGGACGTGACAACAATGTAATCTAAAAATGTGTAACCTCATATTAATTTGAAATAAAAACTTAAATAAAAAGATTCTCATTTAATCAGAGGAGATAGGAATCAAAGTGCACTCATAACTGCAATGTATCATGTGAGACTAATAGCTACAATAAAGCTTCCATTTAATAGCACCCCCACAAAAAAACTAAGAGTTGGCCTTCCATTTGATCCCACAATTCCATTACTAGGTATCTACCCAGAAGAACAAAAATCATTTTATCAGAAAGACATTTATACCAGAACGTTTATTGCAGCTCAATTTACAATTGTCACGTCATGGAAGCAACCCCAATACCCATCAACCCATGAAAGGATTAACAGACTGTGGCATATGTATACCAAGGAATACTATTGAGCCATAAAAAGATGGAGACCTAGCACTCCGGGAGGCCGAGGCGGGTGGAGTGCCTGAGTTCATGAGTTTAAGACCAGCCTGAGCCAGAGCAAGAGTTAGAGTGAGACTTTGTTTCTTTTTTTTTTTTTTTTTT